GCGTCTTGTTTTACATTAGTGACGGAGGAATGGAGGGGCTTCTGTTAACTTTTTTTCAGCTTCCTGACTAGATGTGACACCACTTCCTGTCTCTTCCACTCAGTAGAGGAGAGATCACCGGCTCCTGGACAGTGTGAACTCTGCAGCCACCAATAAAGTTTATCTCCAATACTGAGAGACAACCAATCCGCTCCTGGTAATCTCTATACATTGTAATCAGGGGGAAGTGACTGTATATGTGGGTGCTATGAGGTGGTGGGGGTAAGGACACTGTATATGTGGGTGCTGTGAGGTGGTGGGGGTAAGGACACTGTATATGTGGGTGCTATGAGGTGGTGGGGGTAAGGACACTGTATATGTAGGTGCTATGAGGTGGTGGGGGTAAGGACACTGTATATGTGGGTGCTATGAGGTGGTGGGAGTAAGGACACTGTATATGTAGGTGCTATGAGGTGGTGGGGGTAAGGACACTGTATATGTGGGTGCTATGAGGTGGTGGGGGTAAGGACACTGTATATGTGGGTGCTATGAGGTGGTGGGGGTAAGGACACTGTATATGTGGGTGCTATGAGGTGGTGGGGGTAAGGACACTGTATATGTGGGTGCTATGAGGTGGTGGGGGTAAGGACACTGTATATGTGGGTGCTATGAGGTGGTGGGGGTAAGGACACTGTATATGTGGGTGCTATGAGGTGGTGGGGGTAAGGACACTGTATATGTGGGTGCTATGAGGTGGTGGGGGTAAGGACACTGTATATGTGGGTGCTATGAGGTGGTGGGGGTAAGGACACTGTATATGTGGGTGCTATGAGGTGGTGGGGGTAAGGACACTGTATATGTGGGTGCTATGAGGTGGTGGGGGTAAGGACACTGTATATGTGGGTGCTATGAGGTGGTGGGAGTAAGGACACTGTATATGTAGGTGCTATGAGGTGGTGGGGGTAAGGACACTGTATATGTGGGTGCTATGAGGTGGTGGGGGAAAGGACACTGTATATGGGGGTCTTTGTATATGTGGGTGCTATGAGGTGGTGAGGGTAAGGACACTGTATATGTGGGTGCTATGAGGTGGTGGGGGCAGGGACTTTGTATATGTGGGTGCTATGAGGTGGTGGGGGTAAGGACACTGTATATGTGGGTGCTATGAGGTGGTGGGGGTAAGGACACTGTATATGTGGGTGCTATGAGGTGGTGGGGGGAAAGGACACTGTATATGTGGGTGCCTTGAGGTGGTGGGGGTAAGGACTCTGTATATGGGGGTGCTATGAGGTGGTGGGGGGAAGGACTCTGTATATGGGGGTGCTATGGTTTGGG